AGCCTTTGTGGCCACTGGCTGGACCAATTTTCTCTGGGTGGGCGTGCCACTGACAAAATCGACGTGCTTTTCGCAACTTTTCTGTGGTGAGATGCATTTATTGCCAAAATAGGGGTGGGATGGTGCCTGGGAGGTTTCTCTCAGCACACGGCACACTGGTGTCAATCTTGTCAATGGCAAAGTTGTAACACACCCAACAACCAAGTAGTACAATTAACAACATCCCCAATCCCCAATGCAGTAATTGACTAAACGACTACACATTCAACCTGAGCCAATCCTTTGGTAAAGGCCGAGCCTGGGCACGTTGAGTGTAACATACTGTAACATCTTTCCTATTTTGGCCACTGAACCTTTGTTCGCAAGCTGCGCCCCATTACAGTATATGTCTTATAAAGAAACAACTGAATCGTGTAATTTTCCGTGGAACATCCTCAGGAACTCAAGGGCTAATTCCTGAGTTCATCAAACTTCCAGTAAATCTGCAGCTCCCTGTCGACATCTATCGACACCTCACTGAAACCTCCACCTCCCTGTTTCCCTTGTCTAAATGTGTCGCCTAAGGCGCCACTGATTCCCAAAGCGCGAAGTCTTGCAGAACCGTCTGCGAGGAAATGCCGCCACTCGACTCAAACCACGTCTGCCCAGGCACCGGGATATCCTGAAGCGTGGGTTTTGGACCAATTTGTTTGGCATTTAATTTCCGTATATTATATATATATTATATATATATATACGTATATTATATAAGCCTCGGGATGCGTTTTCCCAACACTACACGTCGAGGTCCACGTCGTAGTACTCCAATTGATTGACTTGACTGTGGCTGGCTCGCGCGGAGTCACGGCCCGGCGGCAGTGCAGAACCGTGGAACCGAGTGGATCCGGTGGATCTGGGTTTTGAATGGTTTTGATGGATGGTGACTTCTTTGTAGCTTTTCAACTAAAACATGGCTGTTCTTTGTAGCTTCTTTGAGATCCCTATAACCCATCTCTTTATAAGAATGTCAACACATTGAACACAGCGTAGCGGTTCTCATATTTATATATATATATATTAATTATCTTTTGTAGAAGCGCTGAGAGCGGTATCCCGGCAGCCGTATGGTCAAGCAAGTGGTCCTCACGCTAGTTTCACTCTGTGCGCAACGAGTTCACCGTCCTTTCTAGCATTTTCCAGCCACACCAGCACCCAAACACTCCATGGGACTTGAATCAATGCCTACATTGACTCCCCAAGCCAACCCAATTGATCGGCAGATGTGGCAGTCCATTGGAGTCCCGTCCCCAGCGTCAGTCGGAGAGTCTCATGCTTCCCCCCGCAGTTCCAAGGCGCCCAATGTGCCACGGTGGTCAGGCCGGAGAGCAAGGGCAAGGGCTTCGATCGGCTCTTCTCCTGATCGCCACCCGAATGGACCGGAAGCGACCGAGGGCGACCGCGTCTGGGCCCTGCAGGACGCAACGACCGGAAGCGACCGCTTTGATCGCTGGTTGCAAGGGACTCGGCACATCACGCGTTTTCAGGATGAAACAGGATGAAACAGGTGTTCCGCTGTTCCACCCAACCGAAGCCAAACAGGTGTTCCGACAGTCCGAGTGAATCACTCGCAAGAACAAACGTTCTGACAGTCAAGCCCAGCGTCCAGCAAGGCTTCATCATGCACCGAGAGCACGAAAAAAACGTCTGGAAAGTGCTCGGGGCCCAAACTCCTTGGCCAAAAAAAACCGTGGTACAAGTTTCATCCATCCTTCTCCCTTTTCTTGCAACTTCTCTCCACCACTGCTAGGTGTACAGGGTGCGCCTTTTCTACGCAGCTCTGACCCGCATAGCGCAAAAAGCATGAGAACCAACATCAAAATCAATAAATCAACAACAAATGATGCCAGGCCGGTCTCGCCTCGTTGGCCACCCCACAGGGGAATTGACATGACAAAATAGGTGGATAATGATGGAGAAATGAAACAACTTACGTGCGTGCGCTGGAAATCTTGAACTTGTCAACTTGTACATTTCGGGCAAGTTCGTTTTCTCCCCAGTGGGTGCCCAACAGGATGTTCATTTTAATGCCCCTTCTGTCACTTCCGGCTCTTCTTGGGACTCTCCACTGTCACCCGCCCATACAAGCACCACACCATCAGCGCTGTGAGTGTAGGCATCTCCATGACACCCAGTCAGAAGTTCACATCAGTTCAACATCCGCGGGACAACGACCCCAGGACTCATCCGAACTCCCAACTCAAGAAGCCACGTTCGGGGCTCCTGGCCTTACTACTAGGAGCAAGGACGCTACTAGGCGCTCCTGGCATGGCTACTAGGAGCATTCTTACTACAATAGTCTCTTGGGGGGACTCAAGCTGATGACCCACATCCCAACTCTTTCAAACGACACGTTCTTTGAATCAAAGCCACACCGGTCTTGTGTTTTAAACAGTCTTTATTCGAAGATCGGCATCCGACAAACTCAACGAGAATCTTCTTTTTTTGGGTGAGGAAAAATGAAACATCTCAATTGTCATCCAGAACTAAGTACACATAGTGTGCAACCAGCAAAACCCGAGGATTAGGATGATAAAGCCCTAACAATAAGGCTCCATACTGCCCGGCCGCCGCAGGCGACTTCCTCGGCAAGTCTCTCAAGGGCCGCCTTCAGGAGCTTCAGCGTGGCTGAGAGCCAGCCGCCCAAACGGATGCTGTGGCGCAAGTAAAGGTGTCCATCCTTTACAGCTCTGGCCAAACGATTTCGTGGGCATAGCTTCGGCATCCCAAAATACCAATTATATATACCTGTCCTTGAAACCCAAGCTCTGAACATAGACTGTGAAAGACATTGAAGGACTAGTTTTGCTCTACCGGAACATGAGTTCCAGTGCGTACATTGCAGGTTGTGCATCACTTGCTGCCGGTGTACCCACGAAAAGGGTGATGCAGGGAGATGCTTATAGATCCGAGTTGTGACCTACAGCAGGAAAGGACTGAGACCGCTGTGTGAATCAGAATGGAACATGTCAATTGGGTGAATTTATCCAGGAATTCCGCAGAATGCATTTGATTCGGCCCAGAGTTTGGGGGGTCCCGGTCCAGGTCCAAACTCTTTCCTTGGTTGAACATTTGACTGCATTGTGGTGCAAGTGCAACCTGTGCAAAATTACTCAACCGCAGAACCCTGCGAAGGATGATATCTTTGTCGTACAGCTGGCCAGCCCAGTTTCAACCTGTTCTACAAACAGTCGCTATTTTGAAATGGGTCGGCCCAGAAGGAGGGGTTGCTCCCTACCGTTTTTTCTCTTTGGACAGCCCCGTGAGGGCCCTAACTCTTCACCTTGCCAGGTCTCCAAAATGGCCACTTCTGCAAAGTACATTGGCCAACCTCCAACAACGTCCCACGGCGGACGTAGAACAACTAGGTGGGTTCGCTGTTTCGGCTCCATCCGTCAAGAAGAGATGCAGCAGTGTGAGAACTCTTGTAAACCTTTGACCGGGTGACGATGTGTTTATACGGGCCTTGTGCTATCATCAGCATGTCCATGATAGCGTGCACAATCACCAACGAACAAGACAACAAGGCTTGCTATATGCCGCAGTTTGTCGGCCATGCATGGCCCAATTCCCCAAAAGCTCCCCAAGCACGATCATGCCACTCTTGCACAAGTCTTTTCCGTCCAAGCACCATTGATCTTGGTGAAGTGCTGTGAGATCTCCTTCACCCTCTCATAGGTGATGGGGCCCGAACGTGCCACAGGCTCCAGGAACTCCCAAATACCTGAGTCTGACCAAAGATGTCCACGCAAACCATTACATTGGATGTTATTTGCTGTTAGTGACAGTCCTCGAGCTTAGGAAGTCTCATATCCGCTCAACATCTTGAACTGGAAATTCCCATTCAGGGTTGCCACGAGGAGAAGCAACCAGTCCAGCCCATGCTGGCCCTACCACTCACCTCGGTCCCAGTTCTCACACCTCTTCTCGCAAACGCCACGAGTTGCGTTCCCGGTGTCGCGCACTCCACGCCGTCTCACAGATCTCTGGACCACGAAGGCCGCAGTGCCTCGATCTCGCCGTGGCGGGCACAAAGGCCGCGAGCCAGCAGTATCTGGACATGGCTGCCATGCGCAAGCGAAAATTTATGGATGATGGATTGTGAGCACCAGGTGTGGGGATTTAGAGGCAGAACGAAGAACTTATCTATACATATCTATACAGTATATAAATAACTAACACCAGCCCATGATCATGATAAGTTCCAAGATGGTAGCAAAACACGACCTTGGGAGGGATATAATATGCTCTCATGGTCCTTCGGCCAAGGTCGAAGTGAGATGTCTCCCTTCCTTTACATCAACGATCGGATTCTTTGACAATCCATGGGGCCTCGGGTCGATGATGTACGCAAGACTAGCGAAGAACATTTTGGAGTGTTTGGGTAGTGGAATTCACTAGTCACTAGACATGCTGCTTGTAGGGAGCTTTCCCTGTTGGAGTCTTTGCCCAACAGCGGCTTGGAGGCCGCGCTTGGCCCCGAGCTTTGGAGGCCGAGCACGCCGGTTTCAACCGGCGCGGAGCACGCTGGAGCCGAGTGACGGCAACGAAGGATGAAACACACCGAAAGGCAACGAGGCTTGAGAGACTCTTTCGTCCCAGGAGAAAGGCTTGCCCTGTTCTCCCAAGAATTGGCTTGCACAGTGAAACCTTTCTTGGGGGGAATCCACAATTGTCAAAGGCACACTCCCACGTCAAGAATAGCTTTGGTCACGGTTTTCAACAATGGTTCACGTGTAGTCGCTAGGACTGAACGGTGGTGCAGAACCTAATCCATCCGGGAGTCGGAGTACCAGGGACCAATCGGCCACTGGAAACTTCAGGAAATCCCAAGATGTTTGGATGATATCCCCTAATGAATCTTAACGGATCCTAATGGTGCAACTACATCCCATGATTGAAGTGTGTTGAAATCCTAGCTATGGTTGAAATCTTGCGATTTTCACATTGTTTTCACCCCGCACCTTGAGCTCCTTGATGATGTCGCCCTGCTTGATCTTCCGCAGGAAGGCAGCGCCTTCTGTGACGTAGCCTGGCTACATATGTGACGCTGTGCTCAATTTTTCCAAATCCACGACTTGTAATCCCTCAAATGTATTGTGACACCGAACTGGGACGCCATGCCTACTGCGACAGAAATGGGTGAAGAAACGTGGGGAACAGCTGAAATGATCTCAAATCTGTGCGGACACCACGCCCCAAATGTGCGGAAACAACTTGACAGTCTGTTGTCGAGGTGCCGAAGGAGCCGTAGCGGCCATCGAAGAGGTTCTTCCCCGCAGGGGTCATGTCCTCAAGAGCGACGAGAGACTGGGAGCGAAGGTCAGTGGCCGCCGTGAACAGGTGCACTGTGGTGAACTATTGATTCATGTGCTGCGCTTTTGTTGAAGGAAAGGAGGTCGACCCATGGATTGGAGTTGCACGCCCTCAGTTCCTTGGAGGCGTAAGAAAGAAGCGGAGTGAATGTCAACTGTCTGGAAGCAAGTCATCTCATTTAACTGACCTGGGATTGGGTGTCCACTTGCTGACTATTCAGGACTCCGGACCTTCAAAGAGAGGTTTACCTTTTCTGGACGGTAAATGGCTAGTCAGTCTAGTGATGTCTAGGGAATTGCTTGAAGCCCCATGGCCATGACCAGACCGGTGCTTCATCCAGGCTCAAGAAAACAACGAGACCTTCCAGTCGATTGGCTGTAGAGGTCCTCTCCTTGACAAGCAGCTTGGTAAACAGAATCGTATCACATGCCCTGTTGAAAAAGAGTTTTGAAGGAACATGTAGGAACACTCAAGAAACCCACAGGAACCATGCGAACTAACCCAAACAATATGTCTCTATACTTGCAACTTGCAAGTATATCATGTACGTTTGAAGTGTTCAACTTGGCTGCGTGTGAAACATCACGCCCACCCCCCCGGCCCGGAGTACTGCGGACCGATCGCCGGTGATGATGTCCGCAAGAGACGGGCTCCGTTTGGCAGACCGATGGCCGAACAGCGGTTTTCCGCCACCGGCCGTCGGTGAAAATCGGACGGAACGTGGGCATCCGATGGAGGGACGAAGACAGCCGCCAGGTCTGCTTGCAGAGAGAGCGAGTGCGCAACAAACTGCGCAAATATCGACTTTGGGTCTATCCTATTTATGACCAGTAACAGTGGATGATGATGGCTAGTAAAGGCCTTGTTCAAAAATAGTGGCAATTGTACTGACTGCTATATGTATATTATATACAGGTAATAGGACAGACCCAACGCAAAAAACAAACTTACAACCGCTTATTAACCCGATTAGTGTCTGATAGCTTCCAACATGGCACTCAGGTCGCTGGATGTCCTGGATGTCCGCATCAGTGAACGATCCCAAGATTCGGTACCAAAGTAGAGCCAGCCGTCCGCCGCTATCAGTTTGTATTAAATATTATTAAATACATTATATATATATATATATTGAATAACGCAAATGATCAAGAACAACGCTACAGCACATGGCTAGTGCTCAAGACATGGCCTTTTGCACGCGGGCTCACCTCCTACGTCCTATGGTAGTCTAGCCATTGCCTCCTAATTGGCTTGTCCCTAACACGCGAACCACCGAAAACCCTTAAACTCATGTTCTGTCCATCAGTTACGCACCGAAAAACTGAAAAATAACTACCAACAAACCAAGTTCATGGAGGTATGGTGAGGTTGACCTTAAAGCTGTGGTCATTTGTTGGTTTGGATATGTTTTGAGTTTTGGTGAGATTAGTGTAGTTGGTTAAGAAACCATCCAGTTGAATTGTCAAACCTCTTCATATGGAGGGTTTATGGAGGGTTTTTAAAGCTGCGTTCACTCATGTCATGTCATGGCTTTCCACATCGTTCCATGGGGTGCTTTTACACCAAGATGACAGCATTGACGAAGACTGAAACTGCAGCAGCCCTGCTCAGCATCGGAGGCACCAGGCCTTTCTCATCCGCAAAATACCGACCAGTCGGATCTAGGCACATTAGACCGCAAGAGCGTTTTTCGAGGTCTGGGTCAAAAGCACAGGCACCTAAGAAGTGCACTTCTTAAGAGTCTTTGCTTTCGGACTCCACCTGGTACGCTGGTCATTGACATGAATTTGGAAATCTGCCAGGTCTTGAAGAAGATCAAACATACAGCAGTTTCAATGTCCATGCTATGTTCATGACAAGTAGTTCCCATTTCTTCGGGTGGCCAAGCAGCAAACAACTTGGGTCTTTCACACTGGACTCAGCCCAACACAATTACTGAATTACTACAAGTTCACTTCACTTGGAACAACGATGCCCAACTATTAGATCTGTTCCATCAGGGTTCGGTCGTTTGACACTGTTTCATGAAGTGTTAGCATCTTTATATATTACATGTTCATAGATATTCATATACTATTTATAAAAAATAATCATAAGCAAGCAAAGTCTTCAGTTGGCAAAGCCTGTAGAAAACAAGAAGCGTTGCAAACAAAACCTAGTTCTTTGCGGGTGTTCTAGCTGTGAACATCACCTGGTTTGCAATTCTGTGACCAAACATTGCAACAGGAAAGCCCCATTTGACCCATCCCTCTCCACCGTGTTCAACAGGCAAGTTGGCACAACCACGGCGGCACACTTGTTGTCTGCACTCTGGGAGCCCGCGCTGCAAGTGCAGCCCAAAATGGTGAGAATTGATGCATGGAACACAATGGAACACAGTAATACGGCTCACCAATCGTCCTCCGAACTTGGGTGGTTTGCCATGGTTTGCAACATTTTGGAGGATTCCGCATGCTGGTCTGCATCTTAAGATGCCTCAAAACACTATACATCTTTGCACCGCACGAAAGATCGAGGAGGGGTCTGCAGGGTGTGTGAGAAGCCTTCTTTAGGGAGCATGGAACATCCCATTAATCTGTAGGATACATTCGCTGGGAAAATCTTTGATCCCAAAGTGACTCTTCGGCTGACCTTAATTTACTACTCAAGCAGGCTCCAGACTCCAGACCATCCAAAAGCTAAGCAAAAAGAAAGAGAAAGCTTTCAGCCTCATCAGGGCTTTCCAAAAGAGTGCTTGCAAGGCAAAATATGCTGGTGTCTTTCATTCATCTGTGCAAGGACCACCTCAGCTGGGGGTGACAATCCCAAAACCCAATGGCAAAGCTTCATCTTGGCCGTCGGTGCCTACGCGCTCAACTGGCAGTAGATGTCTTGCTGAGCAGCTTGCAGGCCTCCACAGGCAGCGATCTGCACACAGGAAAACTGTGTACGCCATATGCAGCACAAGAACCTCCATGCTAAGCCGCTAAGTTGGTTGTGTTGGTTGAGTGACTTGTTTGAGGATGATCAGATCAGCAATTTGTATTCTTTTGGCTGTCGCATGCTGTAGCCATCATCCCTCCACGTGAACTTTTTCTGATGTTCTTCTCCTGATCCTTCTGATTTTGCCTCGGCGGTAGCCGACCAAGTAGGTCATCAGCGAGGTGAGAGGAAGGAGCAACAGCAGGCCTCAGTCGCTCGGATTCGGATTCGGTGGGTACCGAAGCAATGCGATTGCTAGGCTGCTAGGGAACCCATGGATGGCATTTCCCTGTTTCATCCTGTTTCTATATTTCCCTCCCCAAATGAACCTTCTCAGTTCCTATGAACGCCGAGTGCACGATCTCATCACCTCCACGAGGCGTTTCACGGTTTCATCACCTTTGTGCCTTTGTCAGCACCAGCGGTTTGATTATAATCTCAACGCCTGGACTGAGTTCGCACTTTGAACTCTAAACCTTAGTCCGAGTTGCATAGCGTGGGGGGGGATGGTGACAACGCCCAGGTCAAAGCCTCCGATCGCCGATCAAGGTGGACACAGTGTCCCAGTGGACACCTGTAATACACATTTATGACTGACTAATTTTGGAGGTGGGATGAGGTGGGTGTCCTGCGGGTCATTTTCAAGCAGTTCGATTTGGTCAGGTTGTGCTTTGGGGCAGTCTTTTGACAACACCGATCCCATCATCGAACCCAAGTGCCCAATCACACACGACAAAGTTTCATGATACCTCATGGCACAGGCCCTTCGGATTTAAACCACTTACAAAACTTTCAACTGGAAAGCCATCCTCAATTTGATACCTGCACTCCGGGGCCTATGGGTAGTAAAGGTTTAGACTGGACTTCCTGGAAGAAGGAAGCTTTACCAAAACCGTACAGAAGTGCGTCAATTTTGAACAGACAGAAATGAATTTACTTCCACCCAGCATCTCCCACACTATGGGCGGTGGATCACTTGCGCACCACAGATTTGTCTCACTTGCGCACCACAGCATTTTGGATCACTTACGCACCACACATTTGGATCACTTACGCACTGCGCACCACGGAGCTCTAAACTGCTGTAAGGGTTGCCAAAATGAATTAGGCACCAAAGGTCAGAGTCCACAGCCATGATCACTCACGCACCACGGATCTCCTCCATACATCTCTTTGACGCGTTAGTGGCAGCTGGGGGTGGTGGGGTGGCTGGGGATCTAATGGAATGATTGGCCCATGGCCGCATCATCACATCTTACATCCAGTTCTCTACGATCTAAGGGTGGCCAGTACTCTGCGATCTGAGGCTGGCCATCGATGGGTGGGGTGAAAGAATGACTCAGGCGTACCCTGTAGAAGGATAGCCCGTTCGTGTCTTGTACATGCGGAACGCAGTCTCCCTTCAGCCTACAGAGTCGTACAACGATATGACAAGTACCATGGATATAGAAGTGCCATCTGTACAGGTCCTACATTTCATGTGGTGGGGTGTGGAGGGTGGGATTGGGCAGGGATCTAATGGAATGATTGGCCCATGGCCACATCATCACATCTTACATCGTGGTGGGGTGGGGTGGGGCGGTGGGGTGGGCTGACGGCTATTGGAATGATTTGCCCGTGGCCACATCATCACACCTTACATCTGCGAGCAACCGATTCACACAGTTTCTGTGACGCAAGGATTGCCATGTTCTGTGATCTATAAAGGTTGCCATCGCTGACAAACTGCAAAAACAATTGCGCGGGAAGGAACCATATGGTAGAGCTGCGATTGTCTTTCCTGGAGGGCTGCGATTTGCAGTCACCACGCGGAATTGTCTTGCTTGCGCACAGCGGATTTGTCTCGCTGGACCTGATATGGGGGATACTGCGGTGCACAAGCGAGACAATTCCGCGGTGCACAAGCGACCCCCCAACCCCAAACTATGGGCGGTTGGTACTGTTTTGTTACACTTTTGCCTGTTGCGGACTTACCATTCCCAAACCCGTCTCGCCGGACAGACTCCCGCCCAGAC